GACCTATACCCAGACCCCCCCCCCCCCCCCTTTCTCCCTTGGGGCAACGTCACTTCGTCCCACCTAACCAAATAGTATTTCCTATTACTCTTATCATCCCCTCAAAGAAAACGACACTGAATACTGTCCAGCCTCTTAGCAATTTTCATAGGGATGGTCAAAGCGAATAAATTATAGACAGGAACATTAGTGAGAGTGCTTTTAATGACTGTCAAGGATATCTTCTTAATCTCATCCCAGGCTACCAAATGATATCTTCTTTTTTCCTCCAAATTGCCCTATAGGGATCTATACTAAGTTGTTTCTAATCTTTTGGCAACACTTACTGGAATGGTCAGGAGCAACATATAATAAATGGGTAGGTTAAGTAACGTGTTTTTGATGAGAGTGTCTCCCCCTTTTAGAAAGAAGAGTTCTCTTCAATCCCACTAACCTCTTCTCAAACCTTGCCAATACAGGATCCCACGTTCCCACCTCTTTATAATTGGTCTCCAACGGTAACCTCAATCTTTAATTGACAATTTTACTGCTTTACAACCTAAACCCATGCCAGTCTCAGTATCTCTCTCATCACCTTGTCTAATCAACTCAGACTTGGTAAAATTAGTGCCGAGTCCTGAAACGTCTTGGGAACCCATCAAGACACACCTGAGGTTGAGCATTACTCGTTCGTCCGGCTCACAAAATAGCATAATATCATCTGCAAAGAACAGATGGGTTACCTCATTAGCATGTTTCCCTACTCCCACTTTAAGACCTCTGGATAATTTTAACTGTCTGACTCTTATCAACAACTTATTCAAAACTTCTGTTACCACAATAAAGAGCAACAGGTACAACGGGTTTCTCTGTCTGAGACCACTAGTAGCCTTGAGAAAAGAAGACATGCCTCTATTAACCATTACTACAAAAGATGTGGTAGTTATGCAGAATTTAATCCATCTACACTGTTTCTCCCAAATTCTATTCTCATTAGAAAGTAATCCAGAAAGTTCCAATTTACATAACGGTCTGCTTTCTCTATATCAAGCTTACATAGAACCCCCTTCCTCTTCTTGTACACCAATTCGTATCAAGTGCAGCATCTAAAATTTGTCTGCCTCCCACATGTTGGCATTCACCCACATGTTGGCAAGTTATTCTAGCCTCTAGATGTGTTAATGCCTGCCTACTATTCTTAATAGTGTAACTAATTATTTTCATCTTCTGTTTCTCGGATAGATATTCTTTATGATGTGCTATTTATTTATGTTGTGCTTTCAGAGAATGGCTTGAATAATTGCACGGTCTTATTGGACAACTGATCTTTCTTTAGGTTATCATGAGCTAAAGGAAATCTATTTACATTTTTCTTGTACAAGTTTCTCAATATTGACTAGAGGAGTGTTTTTTAGCTTTTTCAGTAATTTGTGGTTCAATTTAAATATCACCTGACCGAGTAATAAAGAAGCAAATGATGCTTCTAAGATGAGAACACATTTCTTTTCTGTTTTTCAGAAGAATGAATGTGTATTCACAAGGCACCAAGTGACTGTCATCTTAATAAGGAGGAATATACATTTAAAGTGAGGAAAGCAGCCCAACTACTTAGAGAGCATTCTCTTGTTGAATCTTCTTATAGACGCTCAATTAGGTTCCCCAATTCATCAGATATCTACTAGTTTCACTACTGATTAGATGGAATCTATCTCAAAGTCCCCCATTGGATTCTGTATTGGATAACCGCTAAGCCCTTTGGCCAACTATCCAGGAAGAGGGAGAATGGTTGCTTTGTAGATAGGAAGGTTAGATTGGGTATTTTCTACAATGGTCAGGTTTGTATCCTATAAAAGGTGATTCCTCTCCCAAACAGCAAGGTGGTTCCGGGTTCTCTCAAGTTGATCTTGAAGGCTAACACCAAAAACATAGAATAACTACCCATATGTGCAGGAGCACTTGCTCTCCGGCTTGCAAGATATAATTGCATCATCTGTTAATAGCAAATGAAAAACTACTCTTCTGCTATAGTTCTATTCCCATTATGAGCACCTAGCCATTTAGTAGATGTTCCTCCTTAGCTTTGATTAAAAAACTGGTTGAGAGCTTCCATGAGTAAAAGGAAGAGCTAGGAGGAGCGAAGATCCCTTTTTCTTGAGCCTGTATTGAACTTGAAAATATTCCAGCACCGAAATGAAAAATCAGTTTGAAAAGGAAAGGGAAAGAACAGAGAAGTGCTTTCCTTGTTTGAATAATTGGAAATTGGAGAAAAATAAAGGAAATGATTGTTGTAATATTTTGTTTGGTTTGCTTTATCTTTTGTTTGGAAGGAAATGGTTAATTACTAACATAGAAAAGTTAGTACTACCTTCCATCAATAAATTGACAAGTCAGCAACTAAGAGTAAAATAGACAAATTTTCTTCAAAATTTGTAAATCATTCCTTTTTCCTGTTTCTCTTAATTTAAAGGGAAAAAAAAAAATTAGAGTTTTAAGGAAAAGAGGAATCTTCTATTCTTTTACGAATTATTTTTTATCCAAATAAGTGAAAGAACAGTAAGCATCCTGTTTTTTCCTTTTTCCTTTCCTTTCTTTCTGCTCTTCTCAATCTAAAGAGGGTGTAAAACTTGGTTTTTAGGCTTTAAGACCTTGAAAAACATTATTTAATTCTATGGTTCAGTATGGAAGAAGATTAAGACTGCCATTTAGAATTGTTGTAGCATTAATAGTGTTGTGACCAAAAAAGTTGGGATGGATGCCACGTCCTTGGTCCTTTAGTAAGTTATTATCATATTAACTTGTAATATATAGCATTTGGTAAAATTACAGAGTTCTGGGATGTGTATAACACAAAAGTTTTTCAATATTAAGATGTTCCTTCTCTTCATCCCCCTGCCTTCCCACTCCCACTTATGACCCTATGTCCATTAACCAGATATTTTCGCATCATGAGTTTTTTTTTCCCTGTAACATTTGGTAAAAATTGCAGTGTTGAGCATGTACAATACATGTATAAAATTTCTATACATTCTGCAGTCTTCTTTTTGGCTTGTTGCTGGATGTCTTAGACATTGTAAACTGGAGTTGAAACCCAATCAAGATGGTGGGGAGAAGGGATCATTAGGACAGCTTTCTTGGTTGTTTCAATTTTAATTATTTCAGTCAACCTTCATGCTTGAAATTCTGCAACTTTATGCGATTAAGTTTTTGCTGCTGTCTATATTTTTCCGTATAATAAATTGATTGAGATCTATCATTTCCAATATGGTAGAACTTCTGTAGAACTGTGTTTACTGAGAGATTTTGCTTTCATTTGTTTGTTATAAAGGTTACCAAGAAGAGTGACTTGAGTGATTTTTACTTCAATATTGGGAAAAATGTTGCATTTGGTGCAAAAGAGATTGATGAAATAGAGGCAAAGAAGCTTGCTGAGTCCAGGAAGCAAGAGACTCAAGAGGCCAAAGAGATGGATACCTCAGAGAGGCATCAGTCGCACACTTCTTCAGAGTCTTCCAGGGTGAAAGAGGGGCCTCAGGCTGAAACTTCTGCTGCTTCAGTCAGAAGCTTTGAGCCCTCGGATTCAAAAACAGTTTCTGATAAGCGATCTTCAGATGTCTCAGCAGAAGAAAAATCTTCAGATAAACAGCCATCTAGTAATCAGCCAAATCTCAATCATCATAAAAGAAGTGAAGATGCACTTGCTGCTGCTAAAGAACGATTTTTAGCTAGAAAGAGGTCAAAGGTGGAGTAAGTTTAGGTGCTTGCTTTGCCTTCTCATCTCTTTCGGTAAAATGGCAATACTTGATGCAAGGCTTTGTTTGGAATATGGATTTTATTTGTAGAATTAATTTGTAAATTTCTGAACTTAACTAGGAGATTTTGCTGGAATCAAATTCTCGGGGAGTAGGGCTTAAAAATTGCTGGAGTCCTCAATGAGGCCAAAGCTGTATGTAAAAGCATGACCTGATTCTAGCACTTGATTCCTCTCTATATATGCTCAAAAATTCATCTGAAGGAAATACAAAATTTCAACAAATAAACAATGGCTTATATGGATAAAAGCCTTTGATGAGTTTGACAGGTGAAACCTTTTCAAAGAATCACCTAAAGAGGGAAGTGAAAAGGCTAAATGACGAGCACGAGCTCCTCCTCCATTCTTGTAAAGCGAGCAGGGGAAGTTGTAAAGATAGAAATTTTATATGTAACATTTAATTGCTTTGTAATGGAAGTTTTGACGAACTTCAGACGCAGTTCATACGTGCTGTAGATTTGGTTTTAATAAACATGGACTTTTGAAGTTTGTGTTTATATAAGTCTTAATTTTATTTTTGATATTCACTTTTGATATCTTTTCTGAATTACTCTCACGTTAGAAAGTTTTAAAAATATAACGATTTCGGCTGCACGCATGAAACATAAATTCATAATACGACGAGTAAATGTCTTTTTTTTTTTTTTTTTTTTTTTTTTGTTATCGTGCCTTAGGAGTGATAATGCGTGATTTTGGTATGAGATAAAATTCCAAATAAACACAAATTCTCATTTTGCTTCCACACATTTAAGTGGACAATCTTATTGAAAATGAAATAAAAATTTAAAATTTAGTGAATAACTAATATTTGGTTTTTTTTTTTTTTCTAATTTTATTTCGTATCAATGAAAATTGAAAACTGACAAGTCGTAATGTTCAAATATCATATTTGAAAAATATTTATAATTTAAACATAACCCCATTTTTAAATGCCAGAGGAACCAATATAAAATTCGAGAAACGGGCTTTACATATTTACACTTGCTTTTTTAATTTCATTTTTTTTTATCAGTCAACTCTTAGTTTTCACCAACTGGGCTCACCATGTCTCTACCAGATCTTTTGCCTGGCTCACCGTATCTACCAGATCAAACTGGCCTCGGTCCCCTTCTGTTTTGATCTTTTAAAAATATCTTTTCTATGGGCAGCGTCAGGTAAGATTTTTTAACTAGTCTGAGTATTGTCTTTTTCTCAACCCTAAGGGATTTAGATTTGAGATGTGGCGTGGAGAAATGCATCAACACAAAAAAAAATATTTCGAGGGCCAGACCATGCTGGATAGACCAGCCTGCAAGTTTGATATTTTTTAGGCCTGGGTCTACTTTGATTTCTTGTTAATGGTCCATTTTTCATCCATCATCCAACTCCCAAATCCCCATATTGGGTCGGCTAGTACCAGCTTCTTGTTTCGCTAATAATTTTATGGTTTGTTTGGTGGCTGAGTGGGTGATGAATCTAAAATTGGTAACAAAATCAAATGGTGAAGATTTTTGAGTTTAGATATCCTGTACCCAGATTAAGCTTCCTAGGAAACTACCAAAAGTATTTTAATAGGAAATTAGTGATTAATGATTTTAGGTTTTCTTTGTTGCAATAGCTTATTATTCTATTAATTATCACTAATTATAGACTTTTTGAATTTTAAGTCCTCCACGAAAACTTAGATATATGTACATCATACGTATACATTTATGTATACGTTTTTCATGACTGCTACTTGCATTGTAAGTTTCCTCCAGTATTTCTTATAATTCATA